TATATATATGGTAGCTTGGAGGTAGCTTGATTACAGTTAGTTACCTCAGTCAAAAGAAATCCAAATCAATGGGCAGAGGAGTGAGTGTTTACTTTGCAATGTCCTCATGGCAGACTTCCTGAGCAGCGAGTGCCTCGCTGCCTTATGCTAGATGTTTTATATTTAATTTAGCAGTGGGCAGTGCTGTTGCAACATCCCATCTGCTCTTCCATTTCCCCTGGAGTGATGTCAGCCTCCTTCCATGAGGGCAGCTGCAGCATAGCAGAAAGTCCAACACTTTCTGTAATGAAGAGGCAACACCTCTGAATCCCATTTTCGGTTGGCAGACAAGGTTCCTTGGGTTGGCTACTTTAGAAGGCCATTTCCAAATGGGGACAAAGAACACTGGCAAATGGATTAAATTACTTTCAAAGCTTCTCCAAAGCCTTACCTCCCTGCACAATAAGCACTTTGGGGTAGAAACCCCCTTGCTGTTTTGTTCTATGTATACACAGCACCTCATATCAATGGGTCCTGACCTAGGACTGGGGCTTCCACATACTACTGTAATAATAATAATAATAAATCAGACAGAGCCCAAGATTAAATAGAGCAGAAACTTTGTTAAAATAGAACTGGCAAGAATCTGAGGATGGTCAGAAGCTGCATCAACTGTCATTCCTGACTCTGAAATAGTTTGATCTGGGATTTTGGTTCTTATTCATTCCACTTAGGCTTTTACAGCTGGATCTGGCAAGCCTAGCTATACACATGGCTTTTCCCACTGGAATTCAGCACGTGTGCGAGTGCCTGCAGGCCTGGGGCCATGTGCAGCAGCCATTGCCATGATGCCTGAGCAGTGGCTTGCACTTCTCTAAATCCAAGGAGAGTAGCAAGTTTGCAGGACAAAACGTTAGCTGTGACTTCCCTGTTTTAAGCACCTGTACCCTGGCTAAGAGACTGCAGCACTGCTGGCCCTCAGCCTTCGAACATCATTAGACAAAAATCCCCAGGAGATCAAGGGTTTTTCAGACGAGACATCTGAAGCTTTTTTTTTTTTAATTTACCTTTGATTTCTGGGTACTGGGGTTCATGTTTTTTCAAGCTTATCTGCATAGCCACTGGGTCTACAAACCTGCTGTTTACTTTTATTTTAAGTGAAAGCTCAGCTTCTGGTGTATTCGTATAATTGGATTTCAGGGGGAAAAAACAAATCAATCAAGCAGGTATAAAAAGAATTCCAGAAGTTGGCAACACCGACTATAACTAGCCAAAAAATATATTAAAAAAAATCTATTCAATAGAATGTAATACAGTTGCTTATCAGGATAGTATTCATGCATTTATGTGTAGAAATAAATAGCAAAAATAGCAAAATCTCAGTCCCTAAGATTTGTCTCTGGCTCTTTGGTTTTGGGCATCAGGAGGGAGTAGGGTTTCCATTTCTGCTTAACTTTTTATCGGCCCCTGTTGGGGGGGGGGGGGGGGGGGGGCACTTTTCTCTTTTTTTTCGCGCCCGGGTGGGGGGGGGGGGGGGGTCAACATTTCCTCTTCTCCCAAAGATGGTCAGATTTTGAATAAGTGAAAGGATCTTTACAGGAAAAGCAGTTTTAGCATCAAGGGAGAATAGGGAAAAAAACCCCATCATGTTAGCATTGCTCACGTTAAAGTCTTCTCTGGGAAAATAGTAAGGCTTTTTCTTTTTTACTTACAATTTTTATGCCAAGAGAGCAGGAGGGAAATAAAAACGGGGACTTACTAGAGCTCTAGGACTCTGCTAGGGAAAAGGCACTTTCCCATTTCCAGGAACTGAGAGTATATGCACATCTCTGTTCACAACACCACAGCAATATTTGCTTTTATTTATTTATTTTAAGGCTCAGTAAAAGTTCAGTGGATTGCACAAACCAATATCCAGTTCAACACTGAGAATGCACGGAGGTGGCAGGGAGTAATTTCTATTGGAATATTGTTTTCTATAAAAATAAATCACACTGTGCTGAATTTAAAATGAGCCACCTTTAAGAGCTTTGCAATGATTGATCCTCATGTAATGAGCTTCCTGTTCAGCACGCTAGGGGGCTTTTCTGTCCTTCTAGGAGAGCACCCAGCAGGCCACTAACTAAAGTGTGTCTGAGACTTAATTACACTCTATTTAAGAAAATGGGGAAAAAGAAAATAAAAAGGAAAAAAAAACAAAAAACCAACCCTTTCCTCTGGGGTAAAAAGAGAGAAAAAAGGGAGGCTGAAAACTGAAGACATAATCCATAATTAAAAATAAAAAGATAAAGGACTGTTTGATCTATGAAGCTAATTTGGGTTACAAAGCTATTCCTTCTATGGTAAATTCAAACAGGCTTTGAAAGTATTTATACACAATGCATATGGCATTGAACTGGTGTACTGTAAAACCTGCCAGGAGATGTTCTTGATTTTACACTGCCTAACCACAGGAAATCCAATGAACCCCCAAGAATGCAGGTAACTGGAGACTAGTATTCTGGTTTGCAGGATGCTCTCGATGAGGGGTACGGGCATACCACAAGAAAGCAGAGCCTTGCAGACTTCTGCGTCTACATGCAAAGTGGTACAGCAGCCTCAGGTTGGAGACAGACCAGAAGGACTCAGTGCCTCTCCAGGGGTTTAGCTTAAAACAGAGTGCACCGCAAGTAAACCTTTCATGAAAAAGTTATCTTAATTTGTGACATGAAAACATCTGAAGTAGAAGTCACGACAGCTGGGCAAAGGGGATTTTTTCTTAGCTTCAGGGCCAAGTTGAAAAGTTGAGGGGGGAGTGGAAATGGTTCAGGGTCAAACTGGGCTAAATCAAAAAGCTTTAGGTCACCCCAAAACACATCACTGGACCCAATCAGATTGCCCTCACCATTTTAAGGTTACTTATTTTTTTTATTTTTTTTTAAATGTAGGTTGATTTTATAACAATAAAATTTTGAAAAGTTTCAAGTAGAATGGTGCGAAAAAGACACCGTTCAGTCTTTCTGAAATGGAATATCTCCTTCATTAAATGGCAAAACAAAGTGGTCTGATGTCTCTGGTATACCCTCTCTTCCACCCCTTCCCCCCCACCCCGCCCTCAGATATTTGTTCCTTTTGCTCCAGTTCTTACTGAGCTTTGCCCCCTCACCAAAACACTATTTTTCAGCAAACTGACCATTCATTAAAACAAAAAACAAAACAAAACAAGCCCCCCCCCCACCTGCCCAATGCATTAAGATAAATTTTCTAAAGCTATACTGCATCAGGACCAGAAAACTCCTAGGTCACTTCCTTGGTCATGCTTTTGGGTTGTATCATTTATTTCTTGTCCTTTTAGAGTTTCTTGCACCCCTTCTGAAGCATCTGAGGTCATCTTCTTTCAGAGAGACAAGGCAACCGGCTAGTTGGACCCATTAGTGATCCATTAGCAATATTCGTATGAAGATCTCTTTGGGCCAAGAACCTTTTAAGGACAGGCGAGACCTTGTATTCCAGTCAACACAAACCAGAACTAAAAGTATTACTGATGAAACTAGGAGATCTTGAGATAAGGAGCAAGAAATCTTTGAGACTTCAAAGAGGGTCTGTATACAAGTTAAAAGTTCAAGTCTGATCCCAATATTTTTGTGAAATATTTTAACGTCAAATGATTATCGTGCCAGTCCAAAGTAGTTTGCTCCCGTTGCCTGTTTAAACAAGTGACTGTTAATGGTGCTCACTCTTAGTCTCTCAGAGATGCAGTCTGCATCAGACTAAATGAAGGGTTGTTTAACTGAACTGAGTATTTTTACAGTTCTTCCTCCCAAGAGGCTGTCTCGTTTTGGCATGAAATACTAGTCAAGGGACCTCAACTGCCCTATTTTGTGCCAAAATGAAAGACCATCCATGGGATGAGGGGGACAGTCTGTGTGATTCTGCACATGAACAGAAGAGTGGACTGTCAGCCGAATACCATGCTCCTGCCCACATGGGCATGAGAGGTATTGCAGCTCTGACTTTAAAACTCACTGCTTTGCCCATTAGGTTTCCTGTTTCTAAAGGGATCACTTCACTTAAGGCGTGGAAATGGTGCTCCATGTTTGACAAAATGAGCATGGGCCACATTCTACTAGAATTTGTATTCAAGTAGAAGCCCATGAATTGGAAAAGAGCAACTTCTGGTTCACAACAGTGAATGGAGGGACATTCATTTTTTATTTCACTCCTAGGCAAATTCCTGTGCAGTTCCAAATGCGTGCAGTATTCCTCCTTTTCACTTCCTGTCCCAAACTGCCCAGTTCTACATTGTGGGTGGTGCGAGACAGCCTGGCTATGGAAGAGCCTTGGGATCCTTCAGCAGGAAAGACAATAGGCAAAGACAAGATATTCCTGGGCTGAAAGGTGAGTCCAATAAACAGGAACATGAAGATTGGATTTGTTGGCTACAGGTTCTTAAACTGTGCTCATCCCCACAGGATCAGTGCGTTAAGCAACATCTGTTACTTTGCTGGAGTGGCTTTTGATTGAATTGGTGTCAGCAACACAATTAATAGAACAGCATTTCTTCCCTGGGCTTTAAACTTCCTGCTTCATTAAAAATGTCTCATGAACATCATAGGCATTATTTCATGGAGAACTTTTCTTGTAAGACAGACCTATTCTATACTACGGGAATGGCACAAAACCATTGCACCTTCCACTGTTGCGACGTTTTGCCACCACTAGAGAATGCTAGAAAACACCTAGGGAGATATGCACCTTCCCTTCTAAACTGTAGTGCAGCGTGGGGCTTCCTGGGAATATGGTATCCAAGGGGGTGATGTAATCTGGAATTACGCAAGTTAACATATTTAACTCCCAGATGACTGCCTGCATCTAGCAATTTCAGGAAATGAGGGACATAAGAATATTCTTCCCAGGATCCCTTTTAGCAGTTTTTTTGGGTTTTTTTTGTTTTTTTAATCAGACACCGGTACAACGCAGGCACCTGTAGCTGCATTTGTGATGGACAGAGAGCACAAAATGGTTGCAGCATTTCTCTTAATGCACAGCATGCCAACTGGAAGTTTCTACACAGACCCCAACCATCCCATGCATGAAGGTTTAACTGTCTTGAAGGTGCCTGCTCATAATGCTTTGGGGGGAGACAGACTCTACTAGTTAGGCAAATTCAGGTAGGAATTTGGATTCCTAAGGATTCAGGCAACAATTCACAAGCATCTCATCAGGTGGCAAACATTAGGCCCAGAGAGGGAGACAGACAGATGTGGGGGAATTATTGGAGATACTTACTGATGACAGGTTCTCATCTCTTCTTCTCCCTTGGCTGTGCCGGTTGATGAAGGATCGTGCAGAGAGTTTGTAGTGGTTCAGCAGACACGTGATCACCACCACCATCACCATCATCACCACCACGATAATGATTATCTGTACAAACTCCAACTCCGCTGTAAGAGAGGTAGAGAGAGATTTTCAACCATCTTGGAAAGCAGAGAAATATAGTACAAGAAACACTGGAGTGAGTTTGACTATAAAGCCCGTGGAATTGCACAGCTACATCCAGAGATGTTTAAGACACTCAGACGCACAAGGTTTCCACATGCTTTCAGTTAGGCAACATAGAACAAGGGAAATTACCTATGCCAAGGAATAAGAGGCCTAAGACATGAACTACAAAGGTTCTAAGTTATGCCGAAATGTTTAAAATTGATTAACCTGAGCTTCAAGGGTAGGACCCCAACACAAAAGTTTCCCCCCAAAAATCTCTCAAAAGCTTCAGGTTTAAGTTACCTCTACCAGAAATGCGTTTCCTGCCTCCACAAACCAATCTGTAAATGAAGGATTTCTGTACTGAATGCTGCTTTGGCCCACATTGTGGAACCATGCAGCAAGTATTTCTGGTCTTAATTAGAATTTAAAACAAGCAAACACCACCGAGTTCAGTCTTGCAGTTCACTTAACCTTTACTGAGCCTCTGTACACCAGAGGGTTTGGGATTAAATTAAGCCTTGACACCCCAGTGAATCAGAAGAGAGTTATCCCCATTTCACAGAGATGCTAACAGAGGCACAGGAAGCAAAAGGACCCACTCAAGACACTGCGGAGAGTCTGCAGTTCTGTGGTCTGTTCCTGACTCCCGGTCCCAGCTACCAGCCAAATTCCCTCTCTAAGACCATGAACTCTGCCACAACACACAGCTGTTCAACGAGAAGACAGACGTCCTCAATCTATTCTGATTGCAACTCCTCCCAGCTCTGGAGACAGAAGTAATTCAATGTAGTGCTCAGTTTACCAAGCTGACAGTGGCAGCTTGAATGGACTGAACTGGCACAAAGGACTGTTACAGGAAAAAAACCCAAAAAAGCCCTCCAAACAAGCAGGAACAAGCAGCAACAGCGTGTCTTCAAAAGACAGGCCAGTGGCTGGCAGGGGCCGACTCCTAAATGCTAAGACGGCAGTTCCCCACACTTCATTTTGACTGTGTGCAATTAGATGGAGAAAACTGGATATGAAAAACAGCACATAGTAACTTGATAGATGTGTCTATACATTCCTAGCTCAGACAATGAATTTGGCATCCAGGCAGAGACTGGATCCCCGAAGTAGCTCTGCTGCCCAACAGCTGGCCAAGAAATTACTGCCACTGCCTGTGGAACACGGATGCTCACCTGTACTACAGGGCACAGCGTGTTCATGTTTGTGCCACCCTGGCAGCAGGAACCTCACGGATAATTTGGGATATCTGTAAAGACACGAGCCATTGCAGGGGAAAGAAAAGAGGACAGACAAAGCCAATAATACTCATGATTTTCTCTGAGAGAAAAGCTATTGAAAGAGCAGATTTGAAAAAGCTGTGTCCTTAGCTATTCCAGGTGCTGCGATTTGCATTAAAATGTAAGCACCTAAAAAAGGCAGCATGGCAGTAGCATTCATATTGGATAGGGGGGGTTCTGCAGAAACAGGCAGATTTTATTTTTTTTTTTTATTGAGATGGGTTCTGCTGAATCAGGCAGATTTTATTTTTTTTTTTTATTGAGAGTTTCACAACTGCCAGCTGCCAGGAGGAAAGTGCCAGCAAAAGCATATAAAACATCAAGGAAAAACAGTCCAAGTGCAATCCTTGCCGGTTACCTTGGAGTAAATTCTGCTAGGCAGCAGCTGCAGCTATCTCTGCCTCTGGACCAGTCTTCATGCTACCTTTCCCATAGCACCTTCCAACCCAAAGGGGCCCCAAACACTAGTCCCAATTATGCCCACAACCTCAAAAGTCTCAGGACCATCTTTAAAACACTGCAACTATGACGCATGCAAGTCTGTTCAGGGTTGGACTCCATATATGCTGACAGCGCCACTGAAAACACAGTCACTTCTGGAGTGGAGGGAGGCAAATAAGTGTGTGCATGTGGTGGGAGTGCATGGAAATCAGCCCATAAAAGCGTGCGCAGTGATAGAGAGCAATTTTAGCTCAGGTCACAAAGGCAAGGTCACCAGGTTTCTAAAAGGGAAGCACAGGATTGTCACTGTAAAGCAGACACGGTGTCCAAACACCACAGTGATGGGCACAGCATGCAGATATGTCTTTTGCCTCTTTAAGCTGCAGGACGATGAGCCAAGGGCCCCTGCTGGAATTAATAGGGTGGAGCTAGCAGTACAAGGAGACATTAAACCAGCTAGTCCCATTGAACAACAAAACCAGTGCATCTCCCTCTCTGAACGGTTTAAAGAGTGGGGGCGAAAGTCCTACAAATCCCCATTCATTTTTGTCCTCTTTTAAAAAGGAACTTCGGGGAGGAGAATTAAGGTACGGGCTCTCTAGAGAAAAGCGTGCGTCTTACATTTGCGGTGCTCCCCTCTCATCCCTCCCCCATCTTCATTTCAAACGTCCGCGAATTCAGGAATCCAGAGCAGAGCGTGAGCCTCTTATTTTTAATGGGAGGAAAGAGGCTGGAGAGGAGATGGGTGGAGAGATTTACCCAGCAACAGCCCAAGAGCGCTCTCTCTCTCCCCCAGAGCCTTTCAAAGTCTCAATAATCTAAATGTAATACTCTCAATTGAATGGGGAACATACAGTACGCATATTGTTCCTGACACCCACATTCAGAGCCGCAGCCTATCATCGGGGATTGTTTGGGGGCCTGTAATAAACAGAGGTCTTTAAATCCACTCCAAAGAAAAGGCAGCTCTGCACTTTCTACCTCAATGAGATACATGTCAAAAAGCCACACAATGCCATGAAGGGAAGCAGTCACACAGGCCCTCGGCCTCATTTAAATATTTGCTATTAAAATTCAAGGGCCCTTTGTAGCAAGTCTCCCTGCATGACCAAAAGGATGAGAGCCTTTAAACCATTACGCAGAGCCCTTTTGTTTCCTCCCAACCATGAGAGGTTAAAGGTAACAGGAACCCTGACAAGGAGACAATCCCCTTGTCCTTGTGTTAACTGCGAGCGCCCTGGGCATGCTTCGGTGCTTCCTAGACAGCTCTAAGCACTTTGGCAGACAGACAGGCAGCCTCGAGGGTGGAGTTACGGCAGACGGCGTTTGACAGTCCTCTCACGCGCCGCACCGCACCTCGCAGGGCCTCAGCCTTGCCTGACAAGGGGGAAGAGTGGGGAGGAGGGGGTTTATAGAGACGCATGGGCATTTTTTTTTATTGTTTTTGGTTTTGTTTTACTAGGCTCATTTCTGAGTGCCTGCCTGCAGGGGATGGGGTTCCCACAGTCACCCTCTATGCATTCAGGCTGCAGGAGACCTGCATTTGGGCTGGCTTGTGCTAGAAGAAAGTACAGATTTGCAGAGCGGCGGGCTATATGGGGTGAGCGATCCCGTTTCCTAACAGGGCTGTTGTGATCCTCCGGCTGCTGAGAAACTCAACGCCCCCTTTAAAAAGAAGATTCCCCCGAGATACTCATTCAGAAGAGGAGTCTTGTTGCAAACAGCCGCTCTTCAGAGAGATGGACCTCACAGTGGGAGCTCCAGTTCACTTTGCATATAGTGGGTGGCTTAGGCGAGGCAGCAGCATATTATAACAGCCCCTTTCAGTGACTTCACAATCCCATTCCCATCAGGCAAAGTCAGAAACGCTCCACAGCCTGTCAGTGCAAAATGTATTTACCTGCAGACAGCATCACCTACCCAGTGCACAAGCGCACGCCCCACACAGCGCCCTGTATAGTGCCTCCAAGCACGTGAAGTCTGGAGAGGAACCCGATTTTGTTACTCAGGTGGAAAAGTGGTTTGCAAATAAAAGTCTCAAGCTAAATGGATTGGGTGGAGATGCCGTATTCAGAACATGCCTGTGCAATGCCAAAGATTGTATGTGCATTGGGGTTCACAGGAGTTTGCTGTGAGCTAATTTAGAAGTCTGCTGAAGTCAAACAATTATCATCGCGATAGATGCACACCCCTGCAGCCCTGGTCGCCACTCCGACAGGAAAGCTTCAGGCTTTCATGGCATTGCCCCAGCAATGGTCACGTTTCTTCTATAACCGCTGCTTGGCACAGTTTCGCTAGGGCACTGCTGTAGTACATTCCCTTTCTACGTGCCCTGCCCCTGTCAAGGTGCCCAAGTTACTCAGCAGCTGCATTCACAGCTCTTTGAAACATGGTACAGATTACTGCAGCTTCAGAATGATGAACCCCCTTACCCCACGCACCCACTGTTAGCAGAGACCGCAAGCTGGATAAACAGCCATCCCACATACTGGAATATGCCATTTGCTGCAGCAGCTACAAAAACCTGGGATTTAAGGTGAGCCAATTTTGCCCCTGAAAGCGTAACATATGTTCTTGGCCACTATAGGAAGATTCAGAGAGAAATGAGAGAGATGCTAAAAGAGAAGCAAGGCTAGCTGGTTATAAAGGAAAGTTCTCACCCATCAGTGACAGACGCACCAATTAGCTAAATCTTGCTGAACTGTTTCAGGAATTTTGTTGGTGCAAATAAAGCTATTGCCATATGGCAGTGGTTTTCATACTTCTTTACCTGCAAAGCCAGGTGTCTTAGTAAACTAGGAGTGTTTTTACACCTGCTCCAGGGGTGGGAGTGCATGGGGGCTTTAATTAAACCAGCTTTAAGAGTTTCAGTTTTTAGTTAAAGTGCTCCTGCTACCATTTTGAAGCACTGGGACGCTGGTACACGAGACACGGAGACTGGCTGCGCTCCAGCGGATTCGATTAATCTACTTTAATTACAGCACGCTGGAGCAGCCTCCCTGCACGTCTATGGGCACCCAATGAGACCAACCTTAAGAGGGAAAGAAAAAGATTTTTTTTTTTAATGTCCTGCAAAATGATTTAAAATAGCTTTTACACACATGCGTGTCCATGCACGCATGCACGCACACAAGAAACAAAGGACTGGTTTCCCTCATTGAGAAGAGTGTGAATGATATAAGGATCAGGGTCATATCAACAGCCTTGGAATTGGTTCCTAGTCCAGCATTAGATATCATCTAGACTGGCACAGAGGCTGGCTTAATAGTTGCAAAAAAGCTATTAATGTGACAATATTAATGTGATTACTAGAGCAAAAGAAACATTAGCTTCAGACAAGGTTTTTCCTTCTCCTCCCCCTCTTTCTTTCAAAGGCATCTACTTGGAGCTGGCTTGGAATATTAGGAGTAGACCCAAGTGAGACAAAGTTGTCAGATGAGGTTATAAGATTTATTGCATGGTTCTGCATCAACACACCACTACTTTGATTCCACTGCTAACCCCCTTTGATTCAAAGTTAGGTTGTTTAGAGTTGTAATTTAGTTTGAGCACCAGGTGCAGTGTTTAAAAAGTGAGTGAGAGAGAAAAAAGCATGCGTAACATCATAAATAGAAGCACAACTTCAATCTCCTCATTTGAAGGAGGGATTCATTTGCAAATTTAGCATTTTTCTGAGATTTTTGCAATATTTCAAAGTAACCAACACACAACCAATTTAACTTCTCCTTTTTCTTATCTATACCTGAACACTTTGAATCATTTATCTTTGTTTGACGGGGGAAGTAAATGACTCTCAAATATGGAAGTATCACTGTAACAGTTATTGTAGATTTTAGTAACATAAACAAGAGCCTGAATGGTGATGATTATGCTTCTCAGCCAGTGCTAGCTGTAAGGATGCGTGTATGCTGAGCTCTTAAAAAAAAAAAACAAACAAAAACAAAACTAGGTTTCCTACCACTGCATGCCTAGTGTAGATGATGCATCTGCAACTTTCAGTTGCTAAGGGCCACCAAAAAGCCACAAGGGTCACCATGAATGCTCTTATGGTAGCTGCTACTTGTGGCGTTGCACCCATTGGAGTGCAATGGTGGAACATTAAGCAGCAGCTCAGGGTAGGGAGTTCCTGTTCATCTAATTCTGCCCCTTAAACCCCAGTTTGGAGTGAGCATATGAGCTAGTAAATGAGACAAATTTGGAGGTGAGCTAACTGTATAATTTCAGCAAGAACATGGATGTCACCAGACCTGGCCTTTGGAAAAAATAAAACAAATTAACCACCCCCGCCATGACCTGCTCTTTTCAAGCTTCAAAGACTCCAGGCATTAAGATTTATGCAAACTTTCCTTCCCTTTTAACTTGTATTCATGAGATTTTTTTTTTTTCAAAAATCAGTGAGAACCCACACTGGAAAGCAAGATGTACATTGTAAAATTTTATCTAGTAATGGAAACTAATAAATAAAGATCTTAAAGAAATCCAAAAATTTAGTGACTTATTATACCTGTGCAATTCAGCCACTATACAA